TGCCGGGGTATTTGATTGCATTGCGCTGCAGCCCAGGGTAGCAGCGCCTTTCACGCAGCAGAATCCAGCGAGCTGCAGCCCAAGGTAGCAGCTCATGTACAGCGCTGGCCGCTGCATTCCAGCACTTTCTACTCAGCAAGAGACGCCCGCTGGCCGCCAAGATGGCCCCTTAGTGGTCCAAGACGCTCCAAGATGTTTGAAGGCGGCCCCCAGGGGCCACAAGATGCCCCAATGGAACTCCCAAAGGCCCTCCCAAATGACCCAGAGAGCCACAAACGCAAAAGCCATTCAGGTTTTTCCATGTTCAGTAAATCTCACGCTCGTCTCCTTCGGATGGCTTCGGGAGAGCTTCACATGGCGCCGAGGCTCGAGATGGCCCCACAACTTCGAAGAAGAGCCCAAGAGGGACCCAAGCGGGCCCCAAGGCCTTCAAGGCAGCCCCAACAGGAAGATCCACAAGAGACCCGTACATTTCAAGCCAGCCCACTTCATATTGAATATCTTCCCACGCCGGCCCTGAACAGCTCGAAGCCCCCGCATAATCCCAAGCAAGACGAGAAACGAAAAGAGAGGACAACCGAGAGAGTCTGGAGGGTTAACGAGGAAGGATGTATAAGGAATATTGGAGGACGAGGTAGGGCAAGGCATGGAATGAGCCTGTCCGAAAAGCACGCGCAGCTCACAACGCCATGGTATGCGCTAGAACCCAAGCGCGCGCGAAGCGCGCGCGCGGTGTTCTGTATAATGCAAATATATACCGACCCCCTGGCCCCGGGTCCCTCCCCGCCACATCTCGGGGACGCTCCTAGTACCGCTCCCCCGGCCTTTCCGGGGAGCCTCCACAGCGTCCCAGGAGGGCCCAAGACGCCTCCCAGAAGCCCTCAGAATTCGAAAGAATGGTCCAATACGCTCCCGAGCAGCCCAAGTCAGCCTTCCGACGGCTCTCTTGGCTCACAGGTGCCCTCCAAGAGAGCCCAAGAGAGGTCTGATAGGTGTCACGGGACGGCCCGAAGAGGCCCAAATCGTAGATGTTCATGGTTTTTTTCAATGTTTTTGGCTTCTCGCGTTTTCGAGCTTCCAATGGTCCAAGAGCGCCGAAGAGGCTCCCAAGACCACTCAAGAGAGCCTCAGGACGGCCCCAAGACGGGCCAAGAAGGCTCCAAGATTGCCGAAGAGGCGCCCAGGACATCCCCAGACCACCCCAGAACAGGCCCAAGATGGGCCCAAGAGCGGGAGCAGGAGGCTTCCAGAGACCTCCGAGAGGCCTCCGGGACCCCCCAGAGGCCCCCAACACACCCCCGATCCCTGAGAGGCCCCAACGAGACCCCGACGAGACTCCGAGAACAGCCCAAGAGAGCTGCGAGAGCCGTCCCGAGAGAGCCCAAAGAGGGTAAGCTCGTTGATTTCCTATGGTTTTCCTAACGTTTTTCGCCTTCCCACGTTTTCCCGCTTCCGACCCTCGAAGATCGAGGATGTTTTTTAGAAAATCGGAATTCCCAGAATTCCCTTTTTTTCAAAGCCCACACATCCCCTGACATCTGGCCGGTATCGCGCCTCCTGGCTTCCCGGGGGGAAGACCCCAAGACGCCGAAGGACAGCCCATGACGACCTCAAGGAGCCCCCAGAACGTAAAGAACGGCCCAACACGCTCCCGCGCAGCCCGAGACACCCTTCCGGCGGCTCTCCAGGCCTTGAGGAGGCCTCCAGAAGCTCCAGGGGGTCTGGAAGACCCCACACCCCTGAGGGGCCCCGTTAACAAAACCCGCGAGGCACAAACAAAAGACAGCGCCGAACAGCGCCGAGGAATTGGAAAAGCATGGAAATCCTACAATTCCTTTTTTTCCAAGTTTGGCCCCCGGTCTACTCTTGCACAACAGACCTAAAGGAAGTTAATGATTTCTGCGTTTCCGCACTTCCCCTTCTATATGATTCCGAGGCTTCAGCAGGGCCTCCAAGGGAGTCCCTGGACGCAAGAGCGACCAACATGATATTACATTAGTTAGCCTATCAAGCCTAGCTAGAACTTGAGCGTGCGCGAAGCGCGAGATGGTTCTAGTTCCTTGTTTATTTTTATAGGACAAACATTTCTTTCAAACAACACGAGTGAACGCGGCGCTAAGGCGAGAGCCACATTTTGAGAACGGACCGCCCTCACTTCGTGAATCTCTTGCATTTTTCTGAACCGAGTGTGCACGGCGCTAAAACTAAAGCCATCATTTGAAAATGACCCGCACTCCATCTGTGAAACTGTTGGCAATTTTAAGCTTCAGGGTCATACATGGCGAGGAAGTCTCAGGCGAAATGCCCGGCCCGCCCTAAAATCTGCCCTCGGGGTGCGACAGGGGGAGGAGAAGGAGGAGGAGGAGGAAGAGGAGGAGGAGGAGGAGTTGTGAACGAGCAGATGAGTTGATTCTGGGTGCAGCGAGGGAGCAGCGCGATGGAGTATGAGCTAGAGGTCCTCGACATTGTATGTGCCAAATGTTCCGCTGTTCATGCTCTT